GGAGCAAACGGGGGGGTGGGCGGGGAGAAGGGTGCAACAATGAATGAATGGAATTCCAAAATCTCTGTAGATGTTCATTGAAATGAAAAATAAATAAATAAATTTTAAAAAAAAGTTACAGCTGGGCAAGTAAAAGGACCTTGCTACCATGCCACCCTGCCGCCTAGTGCCAAGGCAAGCCTGTGACCCCAGAAAGAAGGCGGCACAGCAGTGTCATCATTCCTCACTCCCTTGCTGTGCATTACTCACTCAATGAACTCCTGCTTACACTGCTGCAGCATCTCACACGTTTGCTGAATCTCTTGCTCACTCAGCAGCACCAGCATCCCAATAGTTAAATGAAGTTTTTTTGGCTTCTGGAAAATGGTGCTATCAACACCACGGTCCTGTTATCAAAGGGAGATAAATAAGAAATTCAGACCACCAAATGTCAACAATTACTTTAAAACAAAGATGAAAATATAAGGAGACTGGATTGATGGAAACAAAAGAACTAGAACAGAAGACTGAGAATGTTCATCAGTCATAAATATTGTAACCAATATCACTGAACAGGCTGTGTAGAAACTGTTGAATGGGAATCTAAACTGTTGTGGAAATCTTTACCAAAAAACACAGTAAAAAATTTTAACAAGACAGAAACTCATCCTATACAGAAGTAAATATAGAAGTATTTGAATAGACATTTTTCTAAGCAAGATGTCCCATTAGCTAATAAGTACATGAATAGGTGCTCAACATGTTCTTTGTTGTTAGGTGCTGTCATGTCTGTACTAACTTGTAGTTGATCATCTGGTGGGCTTTTCAGAGTCGGTAGATTACACTGGAGGAGATTGCCCATCCTTTTCCTTGAAGAGCATCTTATGAATTTGTACCTCCAGTCTTTGGGTTAATAGCATAATTTCTTATTTATTAGGCCACCAGAGCTCCCAATATCCCACCCATCCCAGAGCACTTTCACTGATCATTAGACTAACTGATAAAACCCACTGCTGTTGAGTGGATCCTGACTCATAAAAACAGAGTAGCACTGTCCCGTGGGTTTTTCTGAGGTTGTCCATCTTTATGGAAGCACACTGCCATTCCTTTCTCCCACTTAGGAGCTGTTGAGTTCAAACCACCAACCTTTCAGGTAGCTGAAGTGCCTTCTAACTGCTATGCAACCATACTCATACCATCATTGTCTTTGTTGTTGTTGTTGTTAGGTGCCATCAGGTTGAATTCATAGTGACACTTAGAAATAACCCAAATTTCTTTGAATTCGCGAGTATTTAAATGTAATATGGTACATCCATACAGTGGACTTTTATTCAGAAAAAAAGAGGGGGAAAGAAAATAGAATACTAACACATGTTACTTTTTAAAAAAATTAGGCAATCTTTTTATTGTTAGGTTATAAGATTTGTTTGTATATTCCAACTACTAGACACTTGTTATTTTTGGAGGGAAGCAGACCTGAAGTTTCCACATCATTCTACAGATGGAAACAACAAAGTGTTGAAAATCTCCTCTAAAAGGAGTAAAGCAGGAACTCTCCCGAACTCTAAATTCTTATCCCTTACTCTAATCTATGGCCAAATAAACCACCCCAAAGGCAGAAAAATATATTTATCAAATATGGATAACCTAAATTGTGTTCTTGTCATTGCCCAATTTTTGCCTTAGCAACAGGAGTGAGTAGGTTATTAATTTTCTAAGTGTTCCTAGAAATTGAACTATTTTTACATCGGTAAAAAGTTTAATGATTCTATATATCAACTCGACCATCTATGGTGATGAAGGAAGAAGTTCAAGCTGCTTTGAAAGAAATAGCAAAAAAAAAAAAATAAGGCCCCAGGAATAGAGGGTATACCAACTGAAGTATATCAGATAACAGATGTTGCCCTGGATGTGCTCACCAAG